ACTTATTGTGCCTTTTCTGAATATTTGTAGAAAATACTATTTTGCTTAAAATTTATTTAATCAATTTCTAATTTTTAGTATTTATTAGTATATTTTGTATTTATTAATATTTTTATTTTTTTTTAAGTATTTTTTTATTTTTTTATTATTTTAATATGATCAGTATTTTTAGTTATTTAAATATTCTTAAAGCTATAAGTACTTATAGTATTTGTAGTATATGTTAGTATTTTTAGAGATTGTATTTTTGTATACTAGATATTTTAAATCATGTATATTCTTAGTATTCAAACTTTTTAGTATTTCAAGTAATATATTATTTTTTGTGCTTAAAATATTTTTATGATATAAATATCTTAAATATGTTGCTATATTTGGTATTTTAGCGCTTTTGTATTTTTAGTATTTTTCAGTATTTTTTTGGTCTTGCATAACTCTTGTCATAATGAATACGCAGCTAACAACTTCTTTATTGAATTAAATATAAAGCTATTCGAAATTTGCCTTTATAATGAATTTTCTATTGTTCTCAAAAAAATTATAATTAATTTGTTATTATTTCAAAAACCGTTCATCTTTAATCAACAATTCTGAAATGCATTGAATATCTATACATAAATTAAATAATTTTAAATGAAAATGTTTGATTTAACTGGAGAATTTAAGACAAAAATATTTTTAATACCAAACGCACGTTTAGAAATTCAAGAATTATTTTAGAAAATTGCAGCTTAGCTTGTCTTAAAATTTAAATGACAAATAAAAGTTATTAAAAGCATTTTGTACTCTGTGGCATGCAAAAACATGCAGCAGTCGAAGAAGTCTGTGAAAAGAACACAATTTTGCGTTTAGCTCTGGCAGACAGGCAAAGTTCCCCGCCGACAATTTTTGGGGCCCCATAGCTGACCAACTGAACAGATCTAAGCAGAACGAAACAAAACAAAACTGAACTCTGTCTGCAGCAGTGCCTGTGCCTCTGCCTGTGCCTGTGCCAACAATTGCATTAATTATGCGTGCGGCAACATTTTGTGGCAAAGGCTTTTGCCAAATTGCCACAGCGGAGGCACTTGAAAGTTTTGCAGACACTCAATTATATGGTCCAAGCAACGCTGCGCAGGCGGCCAGCCGGGCAGGGGGACAGCAAATGGAGAACTGCCGCCCGGTGACAGCGACGACATCAACAATTCATCTTTGACGGTGTCTTCGCTCGTGGCTAGGAAGCTCTCTGAGAGCCAGAGCCAGAGAGCGAGGGACAATTTGTGCGTGCCGCACTTCAAAGCGAGTCTCGGGGAATCGAGGCATCGGAATCGGGCAAAGAATCTGCAGCATTGTCTGTGTTCCATGTCGACGACGTTGCCTTTTCTGTTTGCCTATTCAATAACTGAGATCCGCGGCGGGAACGGGGCTGGCTGACAGACGAGCCAAATGCTAATCTTGATAAAAATAAACGCACTCGGGCACGTTGAGGTGGAAAAGTTGGCGCGTCTCACGTTTTTCGTCGCATTTTCAATTTGCTTGGCATTTGCCTGGCCATTGTCAGCATATCCCACCCATTTCCCCTACTATGCTACAGCTATCATGCCACACCCCCCTATCCGCGCCCCAAGCCCCACGCCCCACGCTCTCTCGGACCCTTGCTAAGTGAATATTAATATTGACTTTTTGCCTGTTTGCTTTCGCATAGTTTGCAAAGTTTTTCACCTTTGATTGCTACGCTTCCTCGCTTTGCCATAGCCTTAACCTGAACCTGAACCTGAACCCTGACCTCACCCGCTTACCATTTGTGGCCTTTAAGTCAACGCAGTCGCTTCGCTACTCGCTCGCAGCTCTCATTCCCAGACTCATCTCAATGGCTGCTTTTAAATTTATGTGCAAAGTTTTATGCGTGGCCAGAGTCTTGGAATGGGAGCTGCTGCTGCTGCTGCTGCTGCTTAGAGTGGAGGCGCTTTTCCATTATCAGCATTTGATGCTGCTTCCTTGTCGGCAGTTGCTATTATTTTCCATTTTTATGACATTTAACTGCACGTCGCCTACCCAGCTCCAGGTCCAGGTTCAGGCCCAGCCCCTACAACTGGTCGCCTGCCCTCGATAGACTCTCCACACTCCACTCGGTTCCAGGTACGCTCAAAGTCACGCTTGTATTAAAATAAATTGACGAAAAAAGCGCCAAACAATGTCAATTTAATTAAATGAAGCTTATAAAAACTGAGAAAAGCCGCGCTACGTGGGCGGCAAAACATTTGAATTTCTGGTTAAGACGCCGCCATAAACTTAATGAATATGCAAACTGGATGCGGATAAGACCTATGTCATGAGCTGCTTTAGTTTGAGTTGGATATAGAACACTGCAGATTTTATTGAGCTCTCTTAGTCGGGTTGAAGTCGCTTCGAAATGTGGTATGTGTTGAGGCAGTGCGATAAGCAGATATCTAATATATAATAATAATATATACTTCGATCAGAACAAGGCATTTTCTTTGTGGCATATATAGATTAAGTCAAGCGTCTTCTTTGTTTAGAGCAAGGAATTCTCTTTTTGGCATATATAGATTAAGTCAAGCTTGCAGTGCAAGAGGAGCGTCAACTAGCCCTTCTACTAAAGCAACAGCTAAGCTACTTATATACTTCTACATGCCCAGCTTAGTTTCGTCAACTCTTAAGAGCTTGAAGCTAGAGTTAGAATAGTTATTCTAAGAAACAATGCATTAATTATATATGAAACAAACTAAATCAGATTATGTCTCCAAGTAAATTGCCAATAATATTCTCTTAAACTCTGGAGTAAGTTGCCAAAGCTGTCCTTAAAGCATCCGGCCCTCATAGTTAAAGTCTCATTATAAGCAGCAAAGTATATCCGTTCGCTGTTGTATAGTTCGTAACTCTTCCATTGTAACTATAAGCAGCAGTTTGATTTATATCTCAATTATGAAATAAGTCGACTTAAGCACTTTTCTTCATTTTGGGCACACACACACACGCAGTCGCTCGCTGGCTTACATACACCTTTCAGCTTACGTACATATTTAAGCATTTTATAAGCCTATTAAGAACCAACTTCGATGATGTTGGCCCCATTAAAACTACCACAGAATGAAAAGTGGGCGCCGAAAGTGCAACAAAAACAAGCATTTTCAAACTTGTTGGCCTTTGACGGCGCCTTCTTCTGCCGGGTCGCTCCAATTTGGCTGGCCCGGGCACTTCTTAACTACCCTAGCCTCAACCTCCTCCTGCTGCTGCTGCTCTGCCACAGCAACCGCAAGCGACGGCGTACTATCAAAATATTTGCCACAATGAAATCATATTTGTGTGCCTTGCCAGTGCCACGCCCCCACTTAGGCTATATGTACACTGTGCGAACTGATGGAGAGGGGCGGCCGTCGACTGGGACTTGACTATAGTCAAGTGAGGCTGGCGTGCGAAAGTTTATTAAAAACTTTGTGTGCCTTTTGCTTTACGTCTTTTTTTGCAAACAAACAGGCACACACACATGCGCCGAGCACACAAAAACGCAAACACACACACATACACAGACACGCACACAATGTTACAAAAGCAACAGGAGCGACAACAACAACAATGGCCATGTGAAACTTAATAATTCACACAGGAGTGAATTTTTCACAATTTTCACTTTTTTTTTGCCGCAGCCATTGAGTAGGGGTTGTGGATTGGGGCTTGACAGGCAGCTCCCACACCCCCACCACTCGCGATTGGTTGGTTGGTTAGTTGATTTTGCTTGCTTTTGCTTGTTTTTCACCAAATTTCATTGAAGCGTAAAATATGATCCAAAAACTACAAGCGAAAAACAAAGAAAATGTGCGGAAAAGAGCAAAAGTAGTTTGCAGATTGCGTATGTGTGGGTGTATGAGTGTGTGTGTGTGAGTGTGAGCCGTCAACTTTTGTTGACAGAATGAAACCTCAAAAGTTTGCTTTTATTATTTGCTTTACAGCTAGTTAAGAGAATTGTGCAAATTGCTGGCGTGTGCACTGGCAACAGAGCCTTGGGGGTTTTATTTAATAAGACGGAGTGTGTATGTGTGTATTCGGGTGTGTGTGAAAGGTCTTCTCATTGTTTGCGCTTGACATATGCAAGTCAGACAGACCCACGAATTGTCTGACGGCTTAAAGCGACACAAGATCTGCAAGTAATTTGTTAATTACTTAATTGACTGTTGGCCAAAGGGCAAATATTTCATTCAAATCAAAAGTCGAAGTTTAAATGCCCGCCTAAAAGCAGGCTATGTAAATTTTACAAAGCTTATTTCAGAATTTAAGCGCGCAGCCTGAAAGTATGCAGCACTTTTTGAGACACTAAGGCTAACAAAACTTGGCAATTATCTTGTTCTCTGATAAATATTTAAAACACATTTAATATGGAAATCAGTTGGCAGCTCTTGCTGCTGCAATGTCTCCCTTAAAGTCTTTCTCGTTCTTTTTTGCATATATGAAAATAAACTTTTGCGGCTGCTGCCAGTTTATTTAACACACTCGCAATTTTTTTGAGACGCGCCGCAAGATTTATGCGCATAAGTTGCTCGCTAATATTTCATAAAAGTCGAGACCGACCTGAGAACTCAAAGAGCCAGAGCCAAAGCACAAGTCAAAACTCGTTGGACGACCAAAAGTGCTGACAACTCGCACAGAAAGTTGCTGACTTTCCAGACGGAGCGAGCGGTGAGTTAAGTAGGAAATGAAAATGATATTGAGTTAGCTCTGCTGCAGTTTATGGTCCAAATGCAAAGCCAGCACAGAAGTGTCGGCAGTTTCTACTAATGTCCAAAAAAAACATGGTTTTGTTATGCAAAAATCTAAGGGCTCATAGACTAGACTTGCTTGCACTTTAAAGCACAAATCCAAGTGATTAAACTAGAAACTCTATAAACTAATCTCATAATAAGATGAAGCTTAAGCTTAATTATGTACATAATGTAGATGTATATATATTTATAATTAATTAACTAATATCTTCTATCTTTCTCTCCCTTTCATTGTACGTTCAGAACTCTGTCAGCCATGACGTCCAATAACTGGTGATTCTCCACCTCAAATCGCACCTCAACAGCAGTATCAACAGCAACCACAAGAAGAGGCACAACAACAAAAAGGAAGCAAACAGCCGTTCGGGCTGATACGAACAACCAACAAAATGGAAACCGACACACACAACAACCACAACAACGACAACAACAGCTGCAACAACAACTTCAGCAAATACAACTCACACACAAAGTGGCGACAAGATAGCAAGCCTCCGTCTCTGACAGGCCGGCCAACAAGTTTGTCCTGGCTGGCGATGCACATTCCCCTGATGTTGCTGCTGCTGCTGTTACCTGGCCGCACGGACGCCTTCTGCCCCTCGAAGTGTCAATGCCTGGGCGGCGATGCGAACAGTCGCGCCCTGTGCGTGGATGCGGCGCTCGAGGATGTGCCCATTCAGCTCAATCCGGAAACAAAGTACATAAATCTCACGCTGAATCGCATACGCAATCTGGAGTTCACGCTGCCCTTCTACATGAAGCTGGAGGTGCTGGATCTCTCGCAGAACATCATCGAGACGCTCGGCTCGAAGAACTTTGAATACCAAACGGAGCTGCGCACGCTCAACCTGAGCAGGAATTTGGTCAGCGCGCTGCATAAGCACGCCTTCAAGGGTCTGACCAATCTGCTGCTGCTGGACCTCAGCTACAATCGCATTGAGACAGTGCATCCCACGGCGCTGGGCGATCTGGCGGCGCTCGTGGAGCTGGACCTGACCAACAACAATATTGTTAGCCTCGAGGACAACTGCTTCAAGGGCATGCTGTCGCTGGAGGTGCTCGTGTTTCGCAACAATCGGCTGCTCGATGTGCCGGCCAGCAATCTGTGGCATCTGCATGCGCTCAAGAGCCTGGACATGTCCGATAATCTTGTGGAGTTTGTGCGCAACGACAGCTTCGAGGGTCTCAAGGAGCTGCTGGCCCTCAGCGTGCGGGGCAATGTGATGAGCGAGCTGGATGTGGGCGCCTTCGAGGGCCTCATCTCGCTCAAGCATTTGGATCTATCGGATAACAATTTGACGGTGAGTGTGGGCCATAAACAACATGCGGAAACATGTCGTATACTTGTTAGATAAAATAATTTAGCATGAAACGGGCGCTTGGCACTCGGACGTTGCCCAACAGCTGAAATATTGCGGCTGTCTTTTAGGCGCACTCACACACACGCACACACTCGCACACACACATAAATCAGACACTTTGCTCTGTTGCTTTCGTAGTAAATCCTGTGAGCAACACTTTGCAAAGCGGATTGCAGCAGTCGCCCATGTCCTGCTAGGACATGGACGGCAGCTTAAGTTCGTCCTTCCTGTGCTGCCTGCTGCATACGCAAAATTAATAACCATAACTTGTTGTTGTAGTTGTTGTCGTTGCGTCCGTGTTAGTGTGCTTAGAACTCCACACACACACACACAGAGTCATATATAGTCCTTTGCGTCCTTTGGCCATGTCCTTTGCTATTTATGCATGCAAACATGTCCGTACCGTGCTGATTTCTGTTGCGTATACACTTTGCTTAGGGCCCACGGCCATTCGTCGACATTTTGCGTTCGTTAAATGCTGCCTCTATCCTGCTCGCCTTGTGGCCCTTTCCTGCCGCAGCTGCCCTTTTTTCGGACAGCAACACTTTAAGTTTGCTGTCCCTGCCACACAGCAAGCCGTTTCCAAGCAGCTTAAATGTCCTGCATAGTGGCGTGAGAGGCATTGGTTGCCTTGCTGCAGCTCTCAAAACTGTGCTACATCAACGTGATGCAAGACATCATCTTGTACTTAAAGCGTACTCTAATCAGCACATTCCATAGAGCCAAGATACACGTGTTAAATAGATTGCTTAGCTTTTTAATATAACTGCATTGGCTGTGGTTTATGCCTCGTCGGCTTCGGTTTATTGTTTCTGTGTGATAATTCATGAATCAAAATGCGTTTTTTTCATAAGCAAACTCAAGTGTTGCTTTGCTGACATCATCAGAGCTTAAAGCCACGATCTCATTTAATGATATCATACAATCTCTTCAATATCATATAATCGCTTTAATTTGATTTAATCTCTAACTTCGCCAACAAATTCTCTAGCTTCATAGATGAATGCCTGACATAATATAGTTGCAATATTTATCTCAAAAGAATTGCTTAAATTAGTTTAAAACATAGCTCTTCATTTATACAAACTTGATAGCAAGAAACGCCTTAAATATTATATCTTACTATATAATCTATTATAGTATTTAGTTCAGTCTTTTTTTAATGGCAATTAAATCTCACGAAATAATTCTTGAGCACATTTTGAATGCACTTTAAGTCACCTTAAGGTATCTCTCCATATCCCTGGCTCTCATGCAACATAAAGACTCAGTGATCTTCCTCAGAGTTTTTTTTGCCTCTAGAAGCAGCTTGTTTAGATTCAGATTGTTCAGTTTCAGGTGTATACCTGTATAACTGAATGACATAGCTGGTCAGCAGCTGGAACTCTCCTGCATATTCACAGCTTGTTGTTCGCCGCCAAGACAAGCTTCAAAACATATTCAAATATCTATATATATTTTCTACTTTTATATAAATTAATTTATTTATAAAGCATACAACAGTTCGTTGTGCCTGAAAGCTTGGCATGCTAAGCCAGCCGCCTAGACAGACACTCATAATCTTGCTAATGCTGCGCTGCCAAAGGAGAATTGCCAAGATGCAAGCAACAATATCATAGAATACGTAAAAGGATCAGGTATACACTTGAGTGGAACCTATGCTTGTGGCTGCATTATAGCAACTGCCACCATGTCTGCGCATAATAAAAGAAAAGGCTCAGAGCAGAGACAGGCAGCGGCGCAGCGGCAGAGAAGCAACAATGGAATGCAGTTTAGGAAATACCAAAAACATGCAGCAACGGCTAAAAACAAAGTCGCCAGGCAGCTCAAGATGAGCAGTCAAATGAATTTTTTGTTCCACTCTCAGGATGGGTGGCATGGGGCGTGGGCGTTGGGTAGCTGGCAAGTGCAGTCGCAGGACAGAGCACTGCATGCCATTGCATAGTTTGCTGCACACGGTCATAGTATTAGGTATTGCCTGTACAGAGTGCACACGACCAGACCCCATATATTTCAGCTGCAAAATGCCAAAAGGTATTTTAAGTAGTTTCGAACTGATTCCAAGCGCCATAAATTCTTCTGTCCGTTGCCGTTGACTACGCGCAGCAGCAGCAACTGGCTGCACCTGCTTAGCCTCGACCAGGCCAGGCATTTGGTGCTTAGCGCTTCAGTATCCTTTATCCCTTTTTAACGACCATAAATATATATGTGTGTATCTGTGTGTGTGTGTGTGTGCGTGCAGACCAGACAGTTAGCTAGACGTGCACCTAGCCAAGGTGCGCCATGTATTCGTGTATTCGTCAGGCTGCGGCCATGTGGCCTCTTGTTTTTCATCCCAGGCTCCATTGCTCCACTGGCAGTTTGCATAAAACAAAGCAGCAACTACAACTGGAACAACGGCAAAGTCTGTGATTACATGGTGCATAAAAATGCATTCAGCTATGCAGTCCGAAGGCTGCTGTAGATACTCAACTAGCCAGTGCTCAATGGCTCCAAGCTCGAACCAAACTGACTTTTTGCCAATTTTAAAGTTTGCCAAATGCGTGCAGCTCGTCGAAGGGGATGTTGGTGTCTATTGGAAAAATGAAAATATATTATATATAGCTGAATATTGAAAACAAAATTATTTAAAGCTTTTGTTTTTTTTTTTTTTTTTGTTTTTTTTATATTTATAAAAGTGTAGAACCTGTACATTCAAATTTAGTACCTTAACAACACATGTATATATATGGAATCACAATATGAGGAATTCAATGAAGACAAAATTATTTAAAGCTATGAACAGAAAATTTAAATATTCCCATGATGTATTTGTTTAACTGTAAATTGCAACTCAAGATCAAAGAATATTAAATATGTAAATTTCTTTTTTTTTTTAACTTTTAAATTAAATTCTTAGGCTTCTATCTAGTCTCTGTCTGTGCTCATCATTCTGCCTCTCTCTTTCGCTTTATCTATATCTCTCTCTCCCTCTCTCTCCTTCGCTCTTCCTCCCTTCCTCTCCCTCTCTCTCTCTGGAGCCTTCCGCTTCTCTCCCTCTCTTTCTCTCTTAGTCTCGCTCCTTCGCTCTCCCTCCCTTCCTTACCCTCACTCTCTTCAGCCACCCGCTTAAGCTCTTGCATATAAAATATATTTGAAATTTTATCTAGAACAAAAGTATAGCAAAAGTATAGTATAAAAGTATAGCCGCCTTGCAGCACTGCGTATGATAAGCTCTAATCAAATATTTTTAGGGAAAACTTTGATATTTTTTAGCATCAAGTCACATATTCACTTAAGATTTTGGTTTGCTCTTTTTTTTAATGAGCTCAAAAAGTCAGCTCGTTTAGCATAGTATGGCATAGTAGAGTACATATATAATAGAGTGTATTAAGGTATATATAGTATATTTAGTACAGTGTAGTCCAGTACAGTGTACTGTAGTATAGTGTAGAATAGTAGCAATCAATAAAAAAACGAAATGCTTCGCTTTACGCCTTGTTTGTATGCTAAACCAGAAAGAAAACTAAAAATGTTAAAATATATCATAAAAATAAACTTAGAGCAAAGCATAAATAATTCAAGTTATAATTGTAATAAAATATATATTTTCACTAGAGCATGGAATTTCATGATGCATTAGCTTTGCTGCTGTCCTGAGCTAATGCCTTAAAGAATGCAAACAAATCTGAAAAAGTCTTGAGTTTGTTGCGCAAATTCCTTTCGCTTTTGTTTCTATGCGAAATCAGCTAAAATTATTTATATTAAAAATAGATTTAATAACAAAGCACAAAAATGACAATCTGCAATAAACAATGCCAGTGTTTGCATTGTCTCGGGCCATGCGCCTTTGCATAAGTGAAATAATAATTAAATTTTAGATATATTCACATTTGGAAATTTGAATGACAGCAAAATGCTTGCAAATAAGTTTTATGTAATTTTCAATATTTTTGCAGCTTAAATAAAAATGCTCTCGGCTGGATATTGGCATTTGTGTGGCTGGCTTTTGTGGTGCATTTTGTTGTTTTCGATTTATTGTGATTTAAGTTGTGAACTTTGATTTTGCATATTGCGCACAAATATTATTGCATTCGACATTCGGGCCAGTTAATTGCAAAAATATCAACCTGCAAAGGGAATGCATCCAATTCGGAATTTGCATATAATCAAATCAACAATTTCCATATTTACATAAGACTCGACTATGAGCGAGCGCCGAAATGCTTTCTATGTATTTGGGTTTGGGTTCCGATGCGAATATTTCATTTATAAACGAGAGATCTGAATGATTTATAAAAAAGAAATTAATTATGGCAAATGCTTGCTAAATCTTTGCTCTTTAAGTGCTCAAATTTGCTGCATTCAATCGAGAGTTGGCAGTCGAAAGTGGCGTAAGGCCCCAGCCATTAATTCAAAGCGAATGGTGAACAAAAAGGGAAATTAATTTGTGAAATCAAAGTCAATATAATTTCGCTTTCTTTTATGCCACTCGTGCCTCTACCTCCTGCCATATATATTTCTCTCGCCCTTTGCTTTGGCTTTGCCCTCGCTTTTTCACGCTGCGCTGCGCCGCCAGCCAGTTAGCCTGGCCCTGTGCCCGCACGAACCTTTTAATTAGTCAACCGCCCGCGCGTCCCGTTTGAGTGCTGGGCAAACAGCGAGCGAAGGGTTAAAAAAACGAGCTGAAAATTGCCATTAGGTTAAACAATTGCAGCGCTTGGCCTACATTGCGTATGCGTAATGCTTTTAATTTTTTCTCCTGCTTTCTTTGCTTGCTGTTTGCCTTATGAGTTTGGCAGCCCTCTCCGCCCCAGCCACGCAGTTCATTACGTTATCGCAGGCGTTTCACGTGTCCGGACGCCTGGCACGTAGCTTCCGACACGCTAGCAGCTGCAACTGCGAGTGGCCCGAGGCTGAGGCTGCCACGCGAATAACGAACTCCATTTTTATGAGCCATCTGAGCGCAGGCAAAAGCTGTGCCACTGCCGAAACCTTTTGCCGCGACTTTCCTTTTGGTATTGTTTGGGGCACTAACAAATTTGTTGCAAGATTGATTGTACTGCCAGCACACACACAAAGCGATTTGGCCAGACATCACAAAATGCTGCACGGATGTACATGACGTACATGACGTTTCCGTTTCCGCTGACGTCGCCGCCGCCACAGCCAGTGCCAAAAACTGCGCTTTTTAAGTGCTTCACATTTTATTGGTGAGCTGCCCTTAAAGCATTTCGAAACAAATCGCATTGGTCTAACAGGGGTGGCAGTCGGCGAACAGCAGCTTAGTGGCAACTATCAAGTGCAGCCGCAGAGCGCTTTCAGATTTGAGTGGATGGCATTAACATTTCATAAGCCTCAGTTTGTGTAAGCGCTCGAAATTAAATGATTTTTCTGCCATTCTTTCATTCCTTCATTCTCTCTCGCTAAATCCGTTCCGTTTCTCTCTCTCTCTCTCTTTGCAGATGGTGCCCACGCAGCAGCTCTCGAAACTTTCAAATCTCACTTATTTGAACTTGGGCGGCAATCGCTTCGCCCACTTGCCAGCTGTAGCATTTTTAAACTTGTTTCATTTGCGCGAATTGCACTTGAGCCGCCTGGACTATTTGCAGCGCATCGATTCGAGGTAAGTTTGCCATTGAGTCCAAGTGAAAGTTCGTCTAAAAAGTTGCTCCCTGCACCCACCCCACTAACCCCTGCCAGCCAAGAAAGTTACAGTGATACTTAACAAACTCAAGTGTATATATGCTTTTTACGGCTGCTAACTGGGTCAGCGCCATGAAATGTAGACACAGCAAACAGTTGCCCAACAGCTGAAAGCGAAAAATCAGCAAAGTGGACAATAGCAAACAGTTTGCCCAAAGTGAGAGTAATTCAAAGAAACAACAAAACTTTATAGCGCATCACAATTACAGCTGTGTCGCTTGCAGCATCATAAATAACTAACTCGACACTCGGCTTAGACTTGGACAGGAACTTTTTTGTTTAAGGAAACCTCTTGGAAGCCACAAACTGCAGAGTCTCTTGATTATAAGCAACAGACTGACAGATACTGAGTCGACTGCCAACTTATAAACTCTGCTGTTAAAGGCAGTTCCACCTGCTTGAAAAACCCCTGAGACTTTGGCTCTTATATGTACATCCCATTTATTCTTATGACTTATACTAAAATCCTATCTACATGGAACTTATATATATAAATGTTTGAGTTGCACCAATTTGATCAGCTTTCGTTCTAATGTATATAACTGTAAATATTAAGAAATTCCCACACATCTGTATTGGAACAAGCACTTTATCTGCCCAAATCATATCGAGCCTATGCAAAGAGCCTAAATAGTCATTTCGCTCTTACTCCATAACGTCCAGAACTGCGCTCAGCAGCAGCTAACTTTGTCTCGCTCTCACTCGTTGTGTAAGTGAGCGAATACAAAAGAAAGAGAAAAGTGCAACTTAAACGCAAACTCACTCGGATAATATTTTTACAACAACAATACAGCCGCTCTCAGCTGCTCACTAATACTGCTGCAGCAGTAGAAGAGAATCATGAACAGAATAGGGAAATTGCTGCAGCTATATTTGTCTCACTCTGAAGTGTAAGTGAGCAGATACAAAAGAAAGAGAAACGTGTAACTTAAACGCAAACTCACTCGTATAGTATTTTTACAACAATAATACAAGTTCTCAGCAGCTCACTAACACTGCTGCAACAGTAAAAGAGACTCATGAACAGAACTAGGAAACTGTAAGCCAACGACACACACATATATATGTGTGTGTGAATTTGCTCACATCATTCCAATAGCTGAACAATTGATTTCCATTAAACTGAAAAAGAAAGCTGCTTCTTAGCTGTTCTGCACTTTCACTTGACAGCGCTGGCCTTAACCTCGAACATCCCTTAAAGTATGCAATTATTTTTGGCCAGGATAATCATCTGGCTCAATAGGCAGTTGAGGCACAAAGCGTGCATTGCCATTTGTTATGCCTTTTGTGCAGTTCGGTAAGCGACGAGCGGTGTTTACAGCTGCTCTCCAAAATAAGCTGCCAAGCCAGTCATGCAATTCACTTTCACACACTTGCACGTGACCTAAGCGCGCCCACTCACACACACACATACACATGTAGCTCAAGCACACATCGAGGCAGACACTTAAACATGCCTCGGCTACAAATCATTATTGCTCAATGCAATCAATCATGTCTAATACGCTTTGGTAATAAGATGCCATCACATACACACACACACACAATCACAAAGTCAAATTGCCATACATTGCCCCACCCCCGCCTGACTTGGCCCCGGCTCTGGGGCAGACATTGAAATGCTTGAGCTCAATTCGAGCATATGTTAATTCAATAATTCCAGGCAATTTTCATATCAAATCATCATTGAACGAGCGAGCCTCCGTCTGTGCCAAAGTCTCGACTTGGTTGTCAATCAGACACCGCACCACCCCCTCCCCTGCCCCCACACCGCCTGGCATAGAAATAATATTGATATGCGAAATGTTGGAAGACCGAATCATGTAAATGGATCCCGAGCTGAGCAGATGCCAATGCCATTAAATCAGTTTAATTTTGTAATTTCGTTTGATTCTCTTGCCTGAGACATGGCCACGCCCCCAACACACGCCTCTGCTCACTCTACGAGTTTTGTAATTGCTTTTGCTGTTGCTTTTGTTTGGCTGGGGATTTTGTTTGATTTCGGTTTGAGTCCCGCTGCAAACTGTTGCCCGTTTGCCATTGTTCGCTGTCTGACAAATTGTAGCTTAACTCAAATTTACATACCACTTACACACACACACACACACGCACACGCACACATGTTTCCTTATTTGCAAACTAAATTCTGCGTTTGTCTGCTTCTGTTTTTTTTTTTTTTGAGCCATTCAAAGCGTTGCCACAAAATCTTATGCTAATATATGAAAATTTGAATTTTCAACCTCATTCTTAAGGGAGAAAGGACTATGGAGTAAAAAATGGTTCACATATTCTTGAAAAGAAATGGAAAAGCAGCAGGATTTGGCCTGTTGCAGAGTGGCAAATGAAGAGATTTTTAACTGAAGTTGCAGCCAAAGTTTCAGCTAAATATTTTCAATCAGACACTTTGATTGGCGAGCCAATCACGAATTTCTGTTTTCGACTTTAGTCCCATTTCCTTCCGTAGATTAAAAGTGTTCACAACAAGCAGGAAATTATATTTCACTAGCTTTTAAGACTGTAGCCAGTATCTGGTCGAGGGTTGACTGCTTGCGACAGACAGCATAAACAAGTCAGTGGCTTTGCCGCCAGGGTGCCAGACAAATTGTTAGACACCCTTTCGTGTGAGTAAGTGAGAAAAAAGGGGCGAACGGAAATAGCGCAACATTTTAAAGTTTTCGGGCGGGCTGACTGGGGCATGCCCCCAACTACGCTGCGTCTGTCTGTGGCTGTGGCTGTGTCTGTCCGTACATGTATGTAAATATTTATGCAAATGCGTTAATGGAAACGCACCCCAAGACCGGAACGTGCGACGATGGCGACATGTTGATAGCAAAGTTTATGGCAGATACATTTCGCAAACTGTGAGTTACACATGTGTTGTTGTTGTTGTTGTTGCTTGTCTCATTATAAAAACCTTACACCCAAACAATCAGCGCGCGTACGCAAAATTCATTAGGCAGCGGCACGTATCAACCCAAAAGTAAAGAGCCCACCCCCACGCACCTGTACCTGTACCTGTATCACATCAGCAGCAGCAGCAGCAGCAGCAGCATGAAGCTAGCCCAACTCCTGGCCGCATCAAAGGGAATATTAAGTGCGCATTTTTACACTGACTGTTGCCTGCTCGCCTGGGAGCTGTTGTATGACTTAATAGCCAAAAGTCATTTGCTACATTAACACTTGAATCGGGTCTGTAACGGGCATAACCCGACAGGTGTGCACCCCAAAAATTTCAACTAATTGTTTTCAAATTTATGCATTCCCAGCGAGTCGACTTCATGCGGCTCGTTTGGCGTGTGGCTGCGTTGTAATGCGATTTGCTGGGGGCACAGGCGACATTTGTTTTGCGGCTGCCTTTTTGGGGTTGTAATTTGCTAAGCAGACAGCAGCTGATGAGCAATGATTTGCCTCATGCTATGCTTAGTTGATATATAAAAGAGTTATGCGAACTTGGAGCAAAAAACCAGAATTTGTGTTTAATGTTGTGGAATGTTAGGGGGGAGAAGTACAGGAATATTGCGTAAGGTTTTAGGGTATCTATCAGGCATGATAGAAGAAATTATGAATAGATGAACCAGGCACCAAATAGATTGAGAGTTGTAAAAGATTTATTTAGATATGTCAGTCGGGCTTTTTCTCTCTCAATTCTTCTTCTGCTCAAAGACATCGGCTTCATCATGCGAAGCTGGCGTTTGTAGTTCAAGCAATTCGTATTCTTTTATCGTATTCTATTTCAAGATATATACATATTTATATATATGTATATATATATTTATATATATATCACACACAGTCGCTTGATTAAAAGAAACTTAAAGTTAAACGAAAAATAAAACTCTGAAAATTCTTTGAAAACTATAAATATATAAAAAAAGAAATAAATATAAAATAAATTCTAATTAAATATTTTTAGACAACTGCCATGAATTTAATGTTGTAATAAATATGAATAATTTACAAATAATGCACAAAGTAATTTGAAAATAAATAATTAAACAATTACAAGTTTTTTCTATCAACTTTTTAATGCCCTCTCAAGCAGACACTTGTGCATAGTTTTGTGGGCTGTGCTTCTAATTAAATGATTACATATGCAAATGCCAAGTATTAATTATATAATTGTCTCATTCATTGTCGATTGTTGTTCGCCCATTGTTGTGCTATTTGTCACCCGCTCAACGACATTTGCAGCTGCATATAAATTGATTTCGAATTGAATCGAAAATAATTGATAATTGAAGCATGTACTTAGACCAGAGGATAGGTGGCCAGGCTAGCAATGTGGCATTGATTGTTTCGGTTGCGCGACATGCGTATATAGCCCGAATCGCCCCATTGGCTGCCCCAGGAGTTCTTCACCAACCAATAGTCGCCGCCTTGGCTGTCATGGCCGTAGCCCACAACGAGCACGGCGTGATTCATCGGCCGGTTGCAAGACTTATCATCGAGTACTCCGTGAGTATAGTGCAAGAAATTTTCGCTCACATAGATACCCACTGAAATGGGGCCCTTCAAAGCAACAGCCGCGGCCAAATGCGCTTCATCGCTCGGCATTACACTGACTACGTCACGGACAGTGGCGCCAATTTGCTGTGGATTATAGCGGCACGACAATTGCTTGTTTTCATATTTATAGGAGCTTTCGGTATCGATTCCCTTATTGTCCATCACATATCGCAGTGCTCGATAGGGCAAGCCACCGTCGCAGCCGCGGTTGTGATAGCGTGTGGTTGAGCAATCCACCAAATTCTGTTCAGAGAGCGATACAAGTTTCTTGGTCTTCAGAAACTGCATTCCCTCCAAGGTGCCCGTCGCGGAGAAAGCCCAGCAAGCGCCACAGTGTCCCTGATTCTTCACTGGAGTGACTGCACCCAGACTCCGCCAGTCTATGCTGCTGGGCAGCTCGTAGCTTTCAGGCGGCGAGTACATCAGGTCTATATCGGATGCCATTTCCGTTTCATTAATGCTGCTTAGCATCAGGCTCTCAAACTCCTTGTACAACATATCCGTAAACTGATTCACGCCCATTTCATAGCTCTCCAAGTTGTTTGCATAGCGCATATTGTGCCTGTCGATCTTCTTCTTGTTATCGTAGAAGATGAGCTTGCGCAGCAGCTCCTCGTCCTCACTTTCGTAGCTCTTTTCATATTCCAATTTGTAGGTCTCCCACTCCGCCTCCAGCACGTTCGTATAGGAAATTGTGTGCCCCAACGCGACCAGAGCCAAAAGTGCAATTACTCTCCTCATGCTTAGCTTTCAACGGGTATCAAATAATAACTAAGTCGAGCGCAATGGAAGAGACTCTTTTTATAAAAAAAACCTCCATGAGTCAAGCAGCATTCAGTCAACTCTTATCAACATCCAAATAACTGACCTTAAAATTCCAAGAAATTTCAGTTCTTTAATAATTTAACGGCAAACTAATATAAGCAGTCCAAGTGCAATAAATAAATGCACCTGATATTCTTATCTCAAGGCAAAATAAACGATTGTAAACAGGAAGTTGTAGCCGACGTTTCTATACTCTAACCAGTAAGGGTAGACAAAGCTGCGCCTTTGTGTGTATATTGTGAGATATATATATAAATATGTATATATATTTGCTGTAATTAGAACAAGAAGAAGACACAGTCAGTCGTAATCACTTCATTCTGCAGACTATTTGCTTTATACTTTATATATAGATATAGAAAACCCACCTCATTTCAGGCCGACTTACAGCTGAATGTTTGCTTGAGTAAGAGCAACAAATTTGCCAATTTTTTAAATTATTTTCGCATATCTTACAGACATAAATAAGTCATTATAAAATGGCAAATCTTATTAAATATTTCCACAACTAAAGTATGTTCATGACTTGAATTGCTTGCAAACTATAGCCACAACAAATATTATCACTCTTGTCTGGTCACACCAAGCTACTTCAAATGTTTCTTTACATAGCCAGAGCCAAGAAAGTGCTCGCTGATATTGAACAAGCATCAGCATATAGCTCTGTACAGCTATATAAATGTCAATTAGGCGTGACACACCAAACTGCAAATATCTTAAGGTTAGGCGCAACATTGATTAAATTTATATATTTGGAGCACAAAGGCAGCTCTTCATACGAACAGCTCGCCCAATATGTTGACAAAATGCAAGAAACTGTACAGGTAACGCCTTGACCTGCGCGTCCATTAAACAGGAGACGTAGCAGCTGCTGCTGCTGCTGCTGCAGCTCAGCAAAGTATGCAATGCATAATTTCACGTTTATCAGCATATTCTGTGAGTGGCAAGAAAAGAGGCAACAACAGCTGCAAAACGAAAGCAGGAAGAAATTACGGAAACAGGAAAACATAAACATGCTGCTGGCTGCCTAACTGCGCCGTCGCCCCCGCATTTTGCTGGGCAAAGCGGCAATTTTTCCATAAATTATGAGCCTGGAAACATTTCAAGGCAGCCGCGTGAGTAGCTATTATGCGTGTGTTTATGCTTATGCCAGAGTTGTGCGAAAAGCGTATTTGCATGCTCCTAGAGACAGTGGATCAGCAACAAAGAGAAGAGCGAGAGCGAGAGAGGGCGAGAGCGAGGTTATGCATATGCATGTTGCTTGCTGGGTAATTGCCGTCGCCCACTGCATTGCACTTGAATTTCAAGACAATTATAAATTATGCAGGCGAAACAACAACGGCAACAATTTTACAGTTAATCACAGGCAACTTTAAATTACATAAATTGCAACTTAATTAGCTCAAACTACCTCATTTAACATTTTATGCTCCGCTCTTCAAGCGATTCATACTTAAAGCTGCTTAGTCTGCCGCCCCTGCATTACGCGCATAGCAAATGCCTTAAGTATAGGCCCATTGTGCAGTGTCATTGGGGTGCTTGGGCTCCTGCACAAATATACATTAAACATAAGCCTAATGTGATATTTTGTGCCTGTCATTTGAGTCGCGTTGGCATCGCGTTTTTGCCAAACAAAATTAAAGGTTAAACGGGGCGTATGCGCAATTTAAAAACGTTTAAAATGCCATTAACAAATGCTTTAGGCATATCATTTGATAATTTGTCGCTAGCGCACCACCACAACTGCGACATGAGGCAATTAGTTAATAATTGCTTGGGCGTGATATGTCTTTAAGGTGCCTCTTTAAGCTGCTGCTGCTGCTGCTGCTGCCATCAGAGCAGAACTCAATAAATCAACAGCCAAGTCGTGGCTCAATCGATTTCCCTTTGCGGACTATCAACTGTCATATCTCTCTCAATTTATTGTAGTAAAAATGTCAATCAAGTGAATAGAAAGGATTTACGCTCCACAGAGAGAGAGCGAGCGAGAGAGGAAGAGGCTGGAAGAGGCGGGAGAGAGTGCTAGAGGTGCAGACAGCCATATGCCATTCAAAAACTATATGGCAACGACACAACATATCCTTTGACTGACTGCCTGACTGACTGGGCAACTGACAAACTGTTTGACAAGCTGATTGACTGTTCATCAGTTGCTTGACTATGGCCGTAATAGCTGCTCGTGTGAGTGAACTCTGGAATCGTTAAACGTGACTGAGCCCCACGGACATGGACAGCAAACATTTCAATCCGATTTTCAGCAATTCCAATTCTGACGCCACACACAACAATTTGCATATGAGCTGGCAAGCAAAAACAACATCAACATTTTCGACACACACACACACACACACGCACACACACATGGCAACCATTTCCGTTTCCGCACGCTTGACGCTGGCAGAAGCTGAAAAAAAAACACAATATGCATATATAAAAACAAGTAGAATATTTGCGACTAGCTTAAGAGACTGAGAAATACCCTGCAAACTAGCTGGAAGAAGAATTTAAATAGTATATATTATATATTTCATATATTTTTATATTTTGTATATTTTTTTATTTATATTTTTTTATATTTTGTATATTTTTTTATTTATATTTTTTTATATATATATATTTTTATATTTATATATTTTATATATTTTTATATTTTGTATATTTTTATATTTATATATTTTTATATTTATATATTTTTATATTTATAAATTTGTATATTTATATATTTGTATATTTATATATTTTATATATTTGTATATTTTATATATTTTTATATTTATATATTTGTATATTTTTATATTTTTATATTTATATATTTATATATTTGTATATTTATATATTTTTATATTTTGTATATTTTTATATTTATATATTTGTATATTTATATATTTTTATATTTATATATTTGCATATTTGTATATTTGTATATTTGTATATTTTATATATTTTTATATTTTGTATATTTTTATATTTATATATTTATAAATTTGTATATTTTTATATTTATATATTTGTATATTTGTATATTTGTATATTTGTATATTTGTATATTTTATATATTTTTATATTTTGTATATTTTTATATTTATATATTTGTATATTTATATATTTTTATATTTATATATTTGCATATTTGTATATTTGTATATTTGTATATTTTATATATTTTTATATTTTGTATATTTTTATATTTATATATTTATAAATTTGTATATTTTTATATTTATATATTTGTATATTTATACATTATTTAGAAAATTAGATTTCGGCTGTTGTCTTGCCTGAAGAAAGTTTGCTGCTTGCAAAGACTTTTTAAACTTAGCCAGTTTTATTCTAGCAAAAGCTAGTCGAACCTCAACTCCACTCAACTTTTTCTAGGGTATTTCGAAAACTACAAATGAAAATAAAGAAACGTTACACAAAATGAAGTTTGAATCTGGGCGCCGAACAGCAAAAAGGCTGCTGCTGCTGCTGCTGCTGCTGTTGGCAGTCGCAAGGGGCAGAGACTCAGACTTGGGATATTTTTTTGTTCCTGCGGCGACGACCGCTTTTTGTTGTTGTTTGCCTAGGGCGTTGCCAAAGCGGCATTTAAAGAGCGTTCAACGGCAGGTAAAGCGACCTGTGGAGTCGACTCAAGTTGCTGCCCCATGCCACTGCCACTGCCACCAATGTCACGTTTTTTATTTTTTTTTGCGGCCAAGTGTTTCGGCTGCCTGCACTAGTTATTTGCATAATATTTGCGCAAATAATTGAATTTGTGTTCTTAGCCTCGGCACGCTAAATTGTTCGAGTGAACTTTTCCTCGACTGTGCAGATAATGGCAAACATTTTTAAGCGCCTGCAATTGAAGTTTCTGAATGCTTAACTTGCCATGAAATTGAACGTTCAGCAGAGCCAAAGCCCCATTTGTTTTGTCTAGAAAGTTTAGCTCGGCGTGCCTGCATGTGTTGTCCTTCAAGCGCAATAATATGCGCTCTTTATCTGGCTAAGAGCTATGGCACCACCAATTTATAAGGGGCCAGAATGGAAAAGATTGAATAAATTATGGAAAACTTGCCTGAAAAAAGTTCAATGCATTTTGACTTGAATTAAAATGAGCTGCAAATAGCAGTTGCTGCAGTATAACCATTTTTCTTAATTGAAAAAAACATAAAAAGTCGTAATAAAATTGTAAAAATATTTAAATTATTATTATTAAATTTTCTATAATTATTTTGCCAGCAGCTACAACTGAACTGCTAAGCTGAGAGCAGTAAGCTCACTGCATTCGCTACTCAAGCATTGCTTGACAAATCAGTCAGAGGCAAGTGCTTAAGGGAAATGCACTTTGTACCTCTTGTAAATATAAGTTAATATATAGCGATTGCAAGTACAACAAATTTAACCACAAAATAAATTCCATTCAAACTGAAAAATGCAGCAGAGCCCAACTGGTGGCAATCAGTTGTAAACTAACTGCTGCATACAAATGGCTTTGAGAGAGCTGGAGGAAGAGCGGGAGTGGGAGTGGGAGTGGGAGGCGGCTACAAAGCGGCGCCACTTATCAATGCACGGGCCGAACCAGAAGGTTCATCATGGCAGCGCACAGCTCGTATAAATGCGTTCATTTAACACGAAATGCAACTTAAGAGCTCGCATCAAATCAAATCAAACGCAACGCTGTTGGCTGTTGGCTGTTGGCTAGTGTTGGGGGAGATGGAGGCAAGAAAAATATGTGTCGCTTAAAAGCGACAAATTCGCTATGTGTCAGCGGAGTCAGCCAGCGAGTCGTCGCCTGTGCCGTGCCGCAGAAGTTGCTAAGTTGCTCATACGCCACGTTGCACTTATTTCATGCTGCGACGCTTGGTGGAGTCATCGGTGCTCGAGGTAATGCACTGCCTGCCAGCGACTGCAAGTGCAGTCAGCGACTTTGCGACGTTGACTTAACTTGGCAGGGATTTACGGCAACGCTTCACGGACTTGCGACACGAAGCTTGCAACGTGCCACATGCAGCATGGGAGTATGGTTTTTTTCTGCTTACTCTTTTTGCCTTTTTTTTGCTATTATTAGGTTGAAATAGACGCAGGCTAAATAAATCCACGTCGCCTAAGACGACGCCATGTGGATAAAGGACTAACGAGAGGACTGCCTCCGACTGCGTGTGTGTGTGTGTGTGTGTGCGTCTGTGTGTCTATTCATGTATTTCATTGCCTGGCATTTAAGTTTAACGTTGATGCATAGCATTCTGCATAATTAAAATGAACAACCGACAAGAACAGTCTCCTATATCCACAAACTATATTACTTTGACTTGTACATGTGTGTGTGTGTATGAGCGTGTGTGTTGCCTTGGCAACAGCATGACATGTCTGTGTGTGTGTGCTTGACAGCGCACACGCCATGCACATGTCGTTGGGTTGTCTTAAATCCGTCAGAATTGTTTGCTTTAAGGGAGATTTTTATACTAGAAAATAAAATTGATAATATAAAATGGAGTATTTATGCTTAAATACTAGCTATAAATCAAATTGCTTAAATATATACTTTGAGTACTTTTAAACTAATGTGAATTTCTTAACCTAAGCGAACGACTTGAAGAAAATATTTGGTGCCTGGCAAATCGCTTTGTTCGCTGCAGCCAATAAAAGCAAATTCATCGAGAGTTGTCTGAGCTCGTCACGGCAGCTAATAGTCACTTTTTTAATAGACACTCTTAATTTTATCTGCTGCATTGCTCTTCTTCTTCTTACTCTTTTGTGAGCAATATTCTGCTGCGCTGCCTGCTTATAACTTCTATTCTTTGCCTTTGTGTGTGCCTTTCTGTGTGTCTAAGAATTGTCTTCAGCAGCTTTGTTATGTCTTTTTCGACAACTTCATAGTCAAACCAATTGTTCACTAAATAATAATTTAATTATGCTTAGTAAACTAAAGCCTTTAATTAAACTTTACCAAATATTTGTAGTCAGAGTCGCCTAAGAAGCTTGGCAGCTTGCAAAAAATTTTTATTTTTGACATACTTAAAAAGGTTTAGTGCACTTTTAATCAAATGGCAAATCTTAGTGAACATTTTAATTATTTAATATTTTTGCTAAGTTAAACAGCTGCTGGTATATAGTCAATGAAAAATGTATCACTCTTGCTGGGTCAGCTACTAGTTGAGCCGTGTTAGAGTCGTGTTAGAGTCGTGTTAGAGTCGTGTTAGAGTCGTGTTAGAGTCGTGTTAGAGTCGTGTTAGAGTCGTGTTAGAGTCGTGTTAGAGTCGTGTTAGAGTCGTGTTAGAGTCGTGTTAGAGTCGTGTTAGAGTCGTGTTAGAGTCGTGTTAGAGTCGTGTTAGAGTCGTGTTAGAGTCGTGTTAGAGTCGTGTTAGAGTCGTGTTAGAGTCGTGTTAGAGTCGTGTTAGAGTCGTGTTAGAGTCGTGTTAGAGTCGTGTTAGAGTCGTGTTAGAGTCGTGTTAGAGTCGTGTTAGAGTCGTGTTAGAGTCGTGTTAGAGTCGTGTTAGAGTCGTGTTAGAGTCGTGTTAGAGTCGTGTTAGAGTCGTGTTAGAGTCGTGTTAGAGTCGTGTTAGAGTCGTGTTAGAGTCGTGTTAGAGTCGTGTTAGAGTCGTGTTAGAGTCGTGTTAGAGTCGTGTTAGAGTCGTGTTAGAGTCGTGTTAGAGTCGTGTTAGAGTCGTGTTAGAGTCGTGTTAGAGTCGTGTTAGAGTCGTGTTAGAGTCGTGTTAGAGTCGTGTTAGAGTCGTGTTAGAGTCGTGTTAGAGTCGTGTTAGAGTCGTGTTAGAGTCGTGTTAGAGTCGTGTTAGAGTCGTGTTAGAGTCGTGTTAGAGTCGTGTTAGAGTCGTGTTAGAGTCGTGTTAGAGTCGTGTTAGAGTCGTGTTAGAGTCGTGTTAGAGTCGTGTTAGAGTCGTCTTAGAGTCGTGTTAGAGTCGTGTTAGAGTCGTGATAGGGTCGTGGGCATCAGCTCCATAGAAATCTTGCCTCAGATCTCTTTAGTAAGGGAAGCAAATGAAACTGAGTAAACGGAATCTTTCATGACTGACTCAGCTGCATTATTGGCAGATCTCTCAATCACTAAAGTAGACATTAACTTAAATACATCTCCCAAAAACTAAGCCACAGCTGAATGTTCCACAGTCTCTAATATTTTATATCTCACGCCTTTCTTCCTTGCAGAGCTTTCGTGGACAACACGCACCTGCAGACGCTTCATTTGAACTTCAATCCGCAGCTGAGCGACATACCCATGCGCCTGTTCCAGGGCAATCCCAACATACTGGAGGTGTACATGCAGAGCAACAGCCTGCAGACGCTCTACTCGGCTCAGTTTCCGGTAGACCAGCTGCAGAAGCTGTACCTGGGCGATAATCCGCTGCAGTGCAACTGCTCGCTGCTCTGGCTCTGGCGCCTGGTCACGGGCAACTTTGAAGGCGCTGAGCCAGCGGCGGAGCATGCACAGGGCGGGGCAGTGGCTGCCTTGGCCAAGGAGGCGTCGCTGGTGCGGGAGCAGGAGGACGACACAACGCTCAAGGTCGACGACGGCGTATCTGCCCTGGCGGCCTACATCGCCGAGCAGCACATTGCGAATGCGCTGCAGACCACCGAGCCGAGCGCGTACGAGCAACGGCTGGAGGCAGCTGCCAGCGCCAGCGCCAGCTCGAGCAGCGGCTCCAACTATTTGCGCATGGACAAGCAGCAGATCGGCTGCGACATTTGGCGGGACGCGGTGCGCACGCGCCGCCAGCTGCTGGCCATGAGCGAGGGCGAGATCACCTGTCCGGCGCACATTGTGACCGTAGTCTGTGCGGTGATCACCAGCCTGCTGGTGCTCATGATCGGCATCAGTGTGCTCTACTACCTGCGCTTCGTGAAGCGCCGCCGCAAGCTGCTGCACGAGCGTGGCCCGCTGCGCACCAGCAAGAGCATCATCAATGTGCACGACCGCATACTGCAGGGCCACCATCAGCCGCTGGGCGGTGGCGCCGGCATGAGCATGACCCTGGGTGGCTCGGGGCCTGGCGGCCTGGGCATGACGCTCAACTATCCGCATCATGCGCAGACGCTGCAGGCGCATCATCACTACCATCAGGCCATGCCGCTGCAGGCGCATAGCGGCCATGAGTATCAGCAGACGACGCTGCCGCAGCTGGACAAGCTGGAGCTGGAGCGCTATCTGGCGGCGCAGACCATTGCCAACGAGTACCGGGCACTGAAGCCCTGGGAGCTGCCCGTCAAGGAGGCAGACGACGAGCCGGAGCATCTGTACGAGCGCTTCGATCACTACGAGTACCCGGACACGCACACCATGACCAAGCTGAAGCAGGCCGCAGCGCTCCAAGGCAGCGCCGTGGCAACAGCTGCCAACGCTGCCAACGCTGCCAACGCCGCCGGCGCCAACAGCAAGCCGCATGTTGTCTACGTATGACGTGGACGTGGCGTTGCTGGCAACCACAAACAGCAGCAGCAAAAGCAGCAGCAGCAGCAGCAGCAGCAGCTGGACTTGGGCATCGAGCTGGTGGGCCTTGGCCTGACCAACAACAACTATCGCAGCTATGCGCAGTGCCAGGGCAAGGCGATCGATCACTTTTGAAAACAGGGATATTCGCAGCAGAAGTTTTATGTTTAGGCATCCTTAAGCTTTTCCGTTTGGATTTGGGAATTTCGGAGATTTGATAACTCGCAACAAAAGTTTAACAAGCGTCAAATGAAACAAGGGATATATCTACGTGTATAGCAGCATACTATAATAATATTATTAGTATTACGAATAAATATACGAAATACAACAAATATGTCATATTAGATAAATAAGTGACGAATGCAAAGAAATATTGAATAGCAATAGTTGTACTTCTCTTACTCCCTCTCTCTCTCTCTCTCACTCTCTCTCTCTCGCTCTCACAGCAAACGCCACTCATAGTTAAAGGCATTCAGCAGTTGAGTGTTAAATAGTCTAGCATAGTTAGTAAGCGCATTTAACAGAATTTAATAAACATAAATGAGGCAACTAATTGCCGTGCGCAGAGTGCCGCAATAACATAGTTAACTATTTATTGTTTATCTTTACGTTCTTCGTTATTATTTCCATTGAAACTCTTAAGTTGAGAAAAGCTCGACGAGTAACTGGCTGCGGGGACCAAGCAAACAGTCCATTTTTCAATACACTACGAACTTTAAAGAAAGCAACAGCTGCGTTACTTGGAGGCGCCAATTCGGTTCATAAATAAATTAATAATTTAAATATATTAATATATAAATAAAACACACACAAATAAGATGACAATATATGAAGCGTAAATTTAAGCGAAATTCAAATTTTTGTTTGTCGAGCAGCGCTCAAACTCAAAGTTGGCCTAAAACGTAATCAAAATTGGTTTGTAAATAAATATAAATAAACATACAAAATTAACATATATATATATAAATTGCAAAAGTCTACTCAAGCACAAACCTTAGCATTTTGTACATAATTTATTCTTACATTTACATTTAGTCAAACGCAAAAATGTATATTTCAAATAATTAATAATAAAAAGGAAAATCACATTTAAAGCAATTTTCGAGCACTCAAAACTATTTTCAGTTCTTTAGCCTGGCCAAATGATTTCACGGATGAACAGCAGAGCAAACAGAAGCCCAGCTGCAACTTTCATTTGCATAACAAATAAATAGCAAAGCAAAACAAGCGTATGAAATATTAAAACAATACAAAAAAAATTGAAAAAAAACTATTTAAATTAAGGCAAAGCAAGTCGAGAGCGCAAAGAGCTAAACAAATGCATTTGTTTAAAACGAAAAAAGAATTGAAAAAAAAAAACATTTTAAATTAAAGAAAAAAAACATGAAATGTGTGTAAAAATATATATATAAATATAGCAGACATGCGTAAGTTTAAATTATAATATATGCTAAAGTATTTAATTAAATTACATACACATACATACGCATATGTATGTATATGTATACGTGTATCTGATAGACACTGGAAATTGCGGCAACAACTAAATTCACACTAAATACACAAATGCAAATAAAAACAAAATGTTATTTCTTATACGAAGACTGAAGAAAATGATGATGCAAAAATAAAAATAAAAAATAAAAAAAAAATATAAATTTCAAACTCTGAATCTTCAATTGCAGCCTTCGACTGGGAGTAAGTATTAGAAAGAAAATCTTGAAATAAAAATAAAAATAAAAAAACAGAAGATTCGATTCATATAAAAATATTCATAAATATTCATTTCCATGCCAAATGAATATGAATAGCTGCAGACTATGCGTTCGATTTCATTGTCAAGGAGTCAGAGCTCCAGTCGGCACTGCCTGACTAGCAAATACCCTGAACTCTGTGCAGAGTTGCCTTACCACACACACACACAGCAGCTGCTTTCCCTATGGAAACTTAATTGTTGAATAATTTTTCAAGTTTCTTTATCTACATACCAAATGAATCTATTTAGGACTCTAATAAAAGCTCTCTGCCATAAATTTAACTTTGACTTATCTTTAGATGCAATGAATTGACTGTGGAGCACTTTAGCCAGGCAACTCTTTATGGCTTTATGACATCAAAGCGAGTTGATGAGTGTTGCATGTAAGAGGCACAAGGAGGCATGGCCATGATCAGCATTAGACAGCCAAATAGATAGAGCAATGTTGCAACTGTGCCTCCGTCTATCCATCCCTTTGTCTGTCTATCAATCCGTCTAGCTGCACCATTTCATCAACTTGGAACAGACGGAAGAAGCAGCAATAGCTGTGTGCTTAAAGATATAAAGTAGAATTCGTGTCAAAGCAGTGGGCAACGAAAGTCAGGGTATTTGCAAGTCAAGCACACACAACTAAAGCTTGTGTCTGTGCTGCTACAATCATATCTAACATAAATAGTACAATTTCCTCTACTTAATTTTTACTATAAGCTGGTCACAGCTATTTAAGAGCTGTTATGACAAATGGAGATATCTACATGAAACGCAGTGAGGTATATGGCAGATATGAAGTTTGTATATAAGTTTATTGGCATATCATAAAAATGCTGCAGTATTCAGCCAATCAAATGACAATGTTAATTGAGGCAGAAGAATGTTGTTAACTAGCGTAAGCAGCAGCAAGAGCAACGGTTGTGGCACACACAAGTCGAGCATGCCCAGCCCAAGTAATATGTGAGCATAATAAATCAGAGAGCTTTAGGGTTGGCCTGCTTTTGTAGTACATTTGTAGTGCTTTGTGCGACAACTCTGCGCGAAAGATGGGGCGAAAAAAAAACTAAGAAAGCCATGTTAAGCAAATAATGGACTTGTTTTGTTTAAGAAGTGGCCAGAAATATTTTCACAAACAGAAATAAACTGCGCAAGAAATGACATAAATCTAGGACTGGAACTTGAAACGCCTACCACACACGGCCTGAGAGCAGGACAAACACAAACTGATATGTGGCACAGCAAACAGAAGTAAAAGCCATATATTGCCCAGGCAGGGCAATAACTGGGGCTGCAACTGGGTCAACAAATGTTGTGAGGCAGTTGGAGTCGGAGTCGGCCGGAGTGGCAGACCAAAGCTAAAATTATTATTAACAATGCGAAATGTAACAAAATTTATATATAAATACTTCTTCATTCGGGGCAGCATAAGGTAGTTGCCTCATGCAGCTCTGCAGCCAGCGTGACGCATTGCCTTGGGGCCAGCACGTACTTAGAGACAAATAAAAGTGAGTGCTACAGTTTTAAAATGCCAGCAGATGCGCGCATAACGAATATTAAATACTCTAACTGATATTTGTGTGAATGTAGCTGAAGTTTAAATAAAGAAAGTATTACGAGAGATCGAGGAGTTTTCAAGCTGTTGCTGCTGATGGGAAATTGATATAGCATAAGAGCTCCTTCTTCTATCTCTTAACTCTTATGTAGAGTTTTACTAAAATATTATACTTGAATGAAACTGTATATAGATAGACATAATAGAGATTTATTTGATTCACATTTAATGTGAGCTTGAAGAACTATTTAGGGAGGTTGAAAGGGACTAACTAATGATAACTGCTTGGAGAAATCGTGCAACGAATGAGCTTTGATAGCGAGAGAGCAGAGACAGACAGCACAGGTGGGAGATGAGAAGAGACAACGTTCTTAGCGTAAAGTGAAATAAAGCGTGAAATCCCAAATGGGCAGGCATCAGAGTCAGCTCCGAGAGACATATAACTCTATAAGAAAGCTGAGCTTTAGAATTTATTTTTTTTATTTTTATTTATAATAAATAAATAAATATCAGCTAAAAATCCAACGTCTAATAGATATAAATTAAATTAATTTTGGGCTAAAAAGGAACAGACGAAGAAGAACGTTAACTCACTATCACCATCAATAGCTCTACAAGAGTACAATACAAATTCTGAAAGCAATATAATCAGAGCCAGCAAATACCAAATATGTAGCACAAAATGTAGAGCTAACCCCTGACAGGGTATAAACTCATGCTTGGCACAACAAACACACCTCAACAAAAGCGCAAACAAAGGCAACAACGAGACACGCAGCAGATGATGAACAACTGCAAGAGAGAGGGAGAGAGAGAGTGAAAGGGAGAGACAAAGGTAGAGCCAGGGAGACTCAACAGTTTAGTAAATAAATCTGCATGCTCTCTAAATAATTAACATGCTCGAGGCCTGTGACAAGGCTCAAGTTGCCCTCAGCTCGCTTGCATTCATTCATTCATTCACTTTCGCTCGCCCTGCCGCACTCATCGAGTTATTCAACCCGGCAAGAGATGCTCCACAAAGGGAGTGACGCTGAGAGCGGGCAGGCTCTGACTGATTGCAGCGCAATTTGTTTGACGCTGCCACACACACACACACTCGAATCCCACCTGGTCCTGGTGTGAAAGTAATGGCAGCTAATTAATATTCTCATAATGCATATTCGAAGCTGCGCAACATTGCGTGATTAACTGAAGACGCTTTACAGCAATTGGTCTAAGGAATTTTCCATAACTTTTTGCTACTCAATAAGTCATAAAGTGCAGGAACCGCTGACGAAATCTATGAATGAGCGGCTATTAAATGCAGCCCCAAGACGCGTGCCGGGGCCAGCTTTACGGCCGAGCCCAGCCGTAAATATCTGTCAGATATATTGCGACGGAACATTTGAGTTACGGCTGTGGCAGCATTTTAATTGCCTAAGATATTTGTTATAGGTGCTAACGGCTGCCGGCTTTCCTCCAGAGATACAGCTACAGCTACACACACACAGCGCCAACAGCAAGGCTATAAATTTAAGTGATGCTGCCGCGCATAAACAGTTTAATGGCACGAATTTGGCTAAAAGATGCGCCCACTGCCAAATGAAATTAAACCAATTCAATTGCCTTTTTGGCCATCAAATGGAGCGCAGCGAAATATTGCGTAACACCTACAATTAATTGATTGAATGGCAATGGAACAGTCTTATTTTTGATTCAAATAACAGATCAATAACAGAGTCTGTTA